ATATGTAAATTTAGCCCTGATATCCGTTAGTTTAGAATTGTTCCAGAAAAAGATTAAGATGGAGCATTCGCAAAGCTTTCAGTACGATTCTTTTTCTGTCATGTGTAATTTACATTCGCGAGTCTGATTAAGATTAATATGGGACACTCGGTTGTAACTCAGTTCATTTTAATCGTCTGAATCGATGCAATCGTATTTCTGATTTTTAGCTTGTTTCATGATCAGGCACCCATTTCAACGGAGGACGCATTCAAGCTCTGCCGGAAAATTATTAATACCCACGCCCCCACGCAATTAATGTGGCCATCAACAGTCTAAAGACGGATATGACGATCATATAATCTAAGGTGACATGCCACGCGTCAGAGTTCAAGGAATAGAATAGACGAGCTATTAATACTCCCTACGTTTGGCGGCTCTTCGCGTGTGACAATTTCCCGCCCTTGACCTGTCGATTCTTGTAAAAACATTTCAGCACTTACTCCACCTAACAAAATCCCTCGGCCAAAAACCAAATGCCTTTTTTATTTTAAAAAAAAAAAATGGTGACGGAAGAATTGGTATGAAATACCACCGGGAAATCAGTAAAACAAAAAATACAGTGAAAGCACCTCTTACTATACCAAATAGTTTGCAAGAAACCTGCTTTGCTAACCACTCGGCTAATTTCCTTTATCTGGAAACCTCGTTAATACAGCAATCTCGCTTTTACGACCACGATTCCGTGGCCCAGCGGTAATTCATGGACAGGCTTCCAACTGAGATTTTTTAGCTGGGATTGCCGATTTTTCTAGAAGGTTAATCAGTTCAAGAAGCACCTTGCGTTCGCCTCGTGAGTGCCAGTCGATCGATTACTACACATCCATTTTCCAACCACACGAGACCGCAATGAATGTAAGAGTTAATAACTTAGTTGAGGTTGAGTCAATCAAGCGACACGCGTTCCCTTCTTTTGAGGCTGAGACGAATAAGTGTTTGCTAACAGTAAACAGCATTTGGATGGAACATTACAGTAGATCAATGGAACACAGTGTAACAATATCAGCAGCAAACAGAGACACGTGTGGTCATGAGCCAGTTCATACATTAGTGCATTTTAAAACAATGTTTGATACAATTGAAAAAAGGTATATTTATTATTGTAGACGACAGAACTATTCAATTCGGATTGTAAACTCGGAGCTTAGTGGCCAGTTATCAACTACGTGCAAGTTTATGCTGAAAGGGACCTGTTTCAATATGTTTCAAGAATGGGCAGCCACCGCTTACGAGTTATTGTGAGTTGCACTTACTGTAAGGGCGGCAGATGTATAAGATCCCCGGCCTAATTATACTATATGACCGTCCGACGCGAAATTTATCATGGACAGAAGTCGTTTGTAGTTGTTCAGTACGGAGTCCAAAGACGGTTTGCCCCTTTTTCATTGTGTTATTTCTGTCTGTAATTTTAAAAGGGTTGCATATTAGCTGAAACAATATATACCTGGAAAACACAAATTCACGGTTTACTCCTTTTAGATCGAACCGGTTTAACGGCTGCACGAGCAAAAACAAAGGATATTAGAAGACAAAAAAGGTTTAATAATGTTCTCTAAATTAATTAGAACTGATTGCAATCAGGGAACACTTAAGGTTCTTTTCTAAAACATAGTGCAGGTGAACTAGTGATATAAATTTAGCCAATGTTGAAAATTGGATAATAAGAGCGACGCTAACCGATAATTTTAAGCATAAACGCTTAGGACGCGTGTCAGCCAAGCTAATAAATCAGTTTTGCTTCAAACAAAGGATATTTTTTGGTCACATAAAAGCTTTTGTTTGTAAAATGTCTTTATTCATAGCTGAACCAGGTGCTTTATTCTTCCTTTTCCTTTGAGATCTATGTTCCCTTTGTGAGAAACTTTGGACGGTTAGATACTTGAATGAAAAGCGAAACAGAGAGGTTTAAGCTTGCTTTTACCTGCGCGCAAAATTTTCAGCCAAGAAGAAAATGTCCGGTAAATAAAAACTCACTTCACACGCGTGCGCTATTAATTCAGCTCTAGAATAATTGCAAGCCACATGACATCGAGCTCTACCTACAGAGAAACGAGCGTAGACGCGTCCCTTGCATTTTTGCCCGACTTTTCACTAACCCAGGTCGGTTTCAGAACGACATAAGTCGCTACTATAAATGGAAATTTTAAAACGTATGAGCCCACATATTTTTTTTGGCCACTCGCAGATACACGTGCCTTGGAGTCCGCTCGAATGGTCACGTGTCTAGAGTTATTGTTTAGTCTGGCACGCGAACGGCTCGCGAGGCAGCTGCAAGAAAACAAACATATGTTTTGAGCAATATCGTGTGTGGCACGCGCCTGCTTTTTTGTTATTTTCAAACAAGTAATTCCTCGAGGGACGCGTAAACAAAACCCTCTGTTCCTTTGATTGCTCGAAATAATGCACTTACAATGTGTGAATCAGCCTAAGGAAATTATGCTCTTTCAGTCGGAAACAATAGCCACGCAACAGTGAACACCCATTTCTGCTTGAACTACCGCTGGGATTGGCTGGGTATAAAACTGCGACTCCAGGCACTTCCCATTCAGAAACGCTTTGAACTCGACCTGAGCACGTCGCTGAAACCACAGAGCTGAACCCTTTTGCTGAGCTAAACTAGGCGGAAGACATGGAGGATTCCTCTAGGAACGGCTTTAAATATCTGTTCAAGATTTTAGTCATCGGAGACGTCGGCGTTGGAAAAACATCTTTGATTCGAAGATTTACCAAAGGTTACTTCGCCGAGAACATCACGTCAACGGTCGGCGTTGACTTGGACTCGAAAATTGTGAACATCCACGGCGACAGAGTTAAACTTCAGTGCTGGGACACAGCCGGACAGGAAAAATATCGCTCAATAACACAGAGTTATTACAGAAACGCCGATGCTGTCATCATGGTATTTGATCTTACAAACCAAGGATCTTTCGCCAGCATTCCAAAGTGGCTCATGGACGTACAGCGCTACACGAACAAGAACGCAGTCAAGGTTCTTGTAGGAAATAAAACGGACTTGAAAGGCGCCAAAAGAATGGTAAACTCTAGATCTGCAGCTAATCTCGCAGAATTCGAGGACTTGTTATTCATTGAAACGTCAGCGAAGTGGGACGACAACATTGAGACTTTGTTCACGGAATTAGCTGAGCAGCTGAGAGAGAATGCAAAGAGCAAGAGCTTGAATCGACTAAACAGCCCCAGCTGCGTTGTTACTAAGAAGAGTTACAGTATTGTGTCTTACATAAAGAGACTTGGGGAGAAACTTCCCATTCAAAGCCCAGCAAGCCTCTGTAGAATATGAACTTCAAATATCCGGCCTTGATTTATTTCATTCAGTGGCATGATCAGAACTATAGATCGCCCATTATCAATTTTTTGAGTCTTCTTTTTCATGATGAATTATTCAAATTTGATACTTCCTACTGCGGAAATCACCCGAGATCGTGTTGATACAATTAGCGATGGAAAAAGTCAAAATAAGATTTTTTTTTTGCTTGAAATCAAGCTCTATCGAATTTTCTTGAAAAATAAAGTTGGCGTAATGTAATATAAAGGGCCAAGCTAAGAGAAGCACTCAATTGTATAAATGTATATTTTATAAGAGAAAATTATTATATTTGTAATATACCTCAAAGATATGTGAATATATAAATATACAGATATAGACTGTGTGAAAATAAAAAGCTTTCAACCATCAAATAAAGTTGTTTTTTTATTCCTGGGTTAACGCTTTCACATTTAGCCGGTGGTGTATTGAACGGGTTTGAAAGCGACATGGTCATTGTTGCAGTTTTTCTTTTTCTTGTTCTCCTTGAATTGACCTTGAGAGGAACAATGCGAATTAATAGAAAACCGACTAAAAGCGATCCGTAAAATAAAAACTTTTTTATTAGGAGCTCAAATTTTTAACAGCGCTTTTTTGAGATTGTTTTTACACTTCACTTCTAAGGGAATACAGAGAGAAAGCTGCATCTTTTATGCTCGGCACGTGGCAGCTAATATGAACGCCAACTTTTTTGTCTTACCATTATGTTAATCATGCTAAAAAGAAGAAAAGAATGACAGCTTTACGTGCACACCAAGACAGTGCGTGAAAGCGGAAACTTTTATAACAATTAATTAAAGGCATAAGTTGCTTCAGTTAACAATCAGTTGACTGAAAGTTCGACTGAGTTATTTTCATGGTCAGAACTGATCACAAGTTGAAAGGAAGTCTGGAACGACTATTTGGAGAGGAAAGCAGCATGCATGCTTCTTACATCACCTTTTTTGGGTAAAAAGTTTCCGTTTTTACGGTTAACCGATTCTCAATAAGTTCAAATGAAATTCTTTTGTTCCCATGCAAATTTGTCTTCACGTTGAAAATTTTATAAGATATTAGCATAATCAGTCGGTAAACAGCTTTAGGTTCACTGTTTACGACGAAAGAAGAGATTTGATTTGTAATAAGGTTAAGTTTATTCGGGAAGTTTTAAATCATTCATCGGAATTTCAGGCTGAGACAATCGTAAAAGGAGTGCTGCGTGGGTTTATGTGTTTTACGCTTTATGCTAAGGTCTATATATTATAGTTTCTTTTTATAAACCCTTGCGGCTATCAGAAAATAACATTCGCCTCAGGTGGTAGAAGACAATTTTCTTTGAATTAAGCATGGGTACTAATGACGACTTCGAAACGGCGTGCTAAAAACTTTATTATACCGTTTTCTATCAGACTTCCTTGGAGAAGACGTTGAAGGTCAGCTCTACGTACTTCCACAATGAACGAACGACTAATTCGAGATTTGACGAACGTGCTATTCCAAGATCTGACGAACGTGCTATTCGAGATCTTAGCATAATTTTTCATATGCTAAGGAAAAATATTGTCATTTCACTCTGTCATCCAGTTAAATAAATAATAACCACAAACTTAAACGGTTTTGTACTTTGTTTTATAAGTGAGTTCATGTCAAGTTTTTTTTTCTTGCAGGCAATAAATATTTATTACATACTAAGTGGGGGTTTAGATACAGAGTTACTAGTTATATTTCTTCTCGAATCTGAGAGAACCGTCTAGTAACATGAATGTCTTTTCCATCATTTCCACAATTATCCGACTTTTAAGCCACAGATATCGGCCCCGAGATGTCGTCACGTCACGCCTTCAGTTCTGCGAACGTTGTGAAATCTTTTAGTGTAATTGTAGGGTCCACGTATGGACCGTCAAAAATTGCAAAGCCGGCTGTATTTCAAGCCGTCTTGCGGGGTATTGGGAAAAGTTTTCAATCAGCAATAACCGCGCCTCGGATGAACCTCACTGGCTACGGTAATGCCACTGCGCAAAGCTAATGTGTAAAGCATTTCTAAAATTTCTTTGAGTGGGTCAACCATGCCATCAATATGGTATCTTATCGCCTTTGTCGATCGAATCTTCATAAAAAAAAATGATCCTTCAAGAAAACATAGTTTTGAATCTTCACCTTTAATTTTAAAAACAGTTTAAACTTATTAATAATAAATTACTATTTCCCATTTCGTTGGGAAATTTTCCACTATTTTGATATGTTTTTAATCAACTGCGGGTTGAGCTACTACGCATGCGCAAACAATTGTAGATCTTTGGATCGATTTCAGGCATATTCAGTCGCTTGTTCTGTGTGAAAGTTGTAATCATCAAAAATGGTTACAATTTTGCCAGAAAAACTTTAAGTTTACAATCATATGCACGCCTGACAAGTGATTTTGTCGCATTGCCAGTGATCATTTCACTACCGTTTTCTAAAATGTCAAAATATTTGTAAACAATTTTCATGTAAGCGAATTTGCCCGACGAAATAACCTAAAACTAGATTTTGTCCTGTGGGTTGAATTCTTAGCCGACTTGTCTGAAAGAGTGGATTGCGTAATACTTTAAGCCACGGGTGAAAGATACGCATGCTCATTTGCATGCAAATTACCGCAAATTCCCTAGAACGGCTGCGTGACAAAGTCTTGAATCTTTCATTTTGCATTTTTTTTCTTTGTCGTTTCTAATTTCATTTTGAAATATAAATGCTATTCTGCTTCTTTGAAAGACTTTAAAATAATAAATTGAAAACAAACGTGCCAAATCGCGGCAACTGAGCGGTATTGATCTTATCCCACAATGATAACAATATTTTGTTCATACTAGTCAGAAACGAATTATCACGTCGTGATATCTGAATTGGTTATTGACTTTTAAATTTCTCCAGACCGGTGGTTTTGCCGCATGGCGAAACTGCCCCTTTACCGACAATAAGTAACTGGTAAATTATTGTGTGAAATGACGAGACGGATGGCATAGAACCGTTGAGGGATTCACTATTAGAAATGTGAAGGACTCTCTGAAGTATTTTATTTGTACTATTATTTCTACCAGGAGCCCATCAAATTTGATGGGCTCCTGTTTCTACTTTTTTACCGGTAGGAGTTCCAGATTTTTTTCCCGCCCGCAACGTTTAATACCTTGTACGGAGGATTTTTTTTCCAAAATGACTTTGCTAATTTGGCTCTTGCCTTTCTGTTCGGACTGTTCTAGCAGGTCAATTGGTTTTTGCAGGAACGGCTTAACTATAAGTTTTTGCGGCTATTTTTAATAGTAAACTATGTGTTCACTTCCCAAAAATCAAGTATAGTTGATCCACATCAACCAAAAGAGGTAATAAAAGTAGAACAGAACCTTTAACTGATAGTACATGTTAAATGTCTGTTGTGTTCTAGGGGACGGTCTCCTTTTATTGAGATATATTTGCATACAATTTTCATGGCAAAATTCCACATGATGCTTTCAGTTTTGTATACTGGTTGAACAAAGCAGAGTGAAAGTCGTTAACTCTGCCAGTTCACTTTGCTTCCCCATGCACTCTTTTTATATAGAGAGAGAGAGGCTGAAATTTGCGAATTTTTCAAAATGTTTTAAGAATAAATCCAAGGCTGAGATTTTGAAAAGGACTAACTTTTCTGTGGTGAAATCTGTAAGTTCAGTACAATTTTATGTTTTTAACTTATAACCGTATACTTCCTTTCACTGAAGGGTACGTGACACAGACCTAAATAGACACTGGTAATTGAAACTCCAATACCGACATGTCATACATTTTAATGCGGAAATGTTATAAGCTATAATGTAAGAATAATTCAAGAATATTTTCATCATAAAATGGTCTAAAATCGACAGAAAAATAAGAATATTCACACCTGGGCCGCAAAAAGAACATTCTTATTTTAAAAAAAGAGTGTAACTGTAACCTACATGTAGATTTTATGCTTAGGTTCAAGGTGTTATCAAAATGTATCATTTCATTTCAATTTCTCGGTTTGAAAACACTGTGATCTACGGTGCCGTTTCTGCTTTTGAGACGTTCTACTTTGATTTACAGTTTTAAACGTTATGGTCGATTAAACGAGCAACACAAACTGTACAATGCTAAGAATTCCATTGATTTATGCGTGTGCAAGTGGAACTTTGAACTTTCGCGACACAATCCTTACTGAATTTCAAAAAAAAGTTTATTTTGTAAGTGAATCATTTATCACTATAGTTTCTTAATTGAACATTATGCCAGCTATAGAGATAATGGACACTAGAAAGTTGGTTCAAATTAGTATCTCGAATCTCTTTCCCCCCCCCCCCCCCCCCCCCCCCCCCCCCCCCCCCCCCCCCCCCCCCACCCCCCCACACGGCGCAACCGGACCCGAGGCGGCTCTACCTTGGGGGCAACAGGGTTCTTCTCTCGAGGAGTCGGGTAGTGGGTTTTTATGACTTCGCTTTTTTATAGTGTCTTTTTTTTTTTTTTTTTTGTGTTTTTGTTTGTTTTAAGAATTCCCTTGATTTTTGGGGGTGCAAATGGAACTTTTAACTTTCCCCACACAATCCTTTCTGAATTTTAAAAAAAAATTTTTTTTGTAAGTTGATCATTTTTTCCTATAGTTTTTTAATTTAACATTATGCCAGCTATAAAGATAAAGGGAACTAGAAAGTTGGTTTAAATTAGTTTCTCGAATTTCTTTCCCCCCCCCCCCCCCACCCCCTTCCACCGGGCAGACTACACTAAGATAAATTTTGGAAGTTGGGGAAAGGGAAAAGCAGGGGATTCTTGTTGCAGATCACAGGTTTGTTTTTCACGAGACTGTGCTATATAGATTATTTGTAATTCCTCTGTAATGCTGTACATTTTTTCTTTAATTTTTGATTTGCAGAATTTTGTTGTTGTTGTTGTTTTTGGATCCTCCCCTTACCGTCACATTTCTAATACCTTGAGAAGAGCATTCGGCATTCGATACCTCACGTGCGCAAATGTCTTGCTCACTTTGTTGTTCCATACCAGCGGTTCCATTGCCAGATCGATCTTTCATTTAACTTCAGACCGTTCCACGTAACCAAAACAAAAATATCATGCAAATGTGTAAAGAATAATTTCAGCCCTGATTCCACGCATACGCAGTAGAGACTGATACCACAATGAGTAGAACGCTTTCCTCAAATTAAAAGTAGGTTATAACATGTAGTTAACTTAGTATTGGTTATTGACTTTTAAATTTCTCCAGAACGGTGGTTTTGCCTATAGCGGCGAAACTGCCCCAAAGTAAATGGT